AGGGGGGGGGTAGGGAGGAATTGATTGCATCTTCTAGAAATGAATAAAGAAGCTAAAGTGAAAGACATTAAGAGATGTATGAATAAACCTTTTCAGTAAATGCAATTCACAGGCTTATACTTGTTTAGAAGTATTTAACCACAAATATCTGGTAATAAGGCCATTACATTAATTTGTCATCATGAATGACCATTAAATGAATTTGTATTGCGATACACAATTATTACAGCTATCATGCTGACCCTTTGATTCAAAATTATTTTTTCAAAGATAAAGTATATGCCAGTATTTTTAAACTGAACAGCAGATATCTGTCTTAGAGACCTTTAACAGTAAAAAAATGCCAAGCCATGGAAGACCAGTGATGTGATGGCAAATGCTCCTTTAACAGTTTAACCTTTCCCTCAGATAACCTTTTATCATTTCCTTGATGCTTTTCTTAAGAGACATGCCTTGTTTTGTAAAAGACTCAACTACCAAACAAGTTTATTTGAAGATTAAATGTCTGACAAATATTAGGTGTTTGCAGTGTTACTTCTGGTATGAGCCAATACATTTTAGAAGTAAACATTGTATATGAGGTTTCAGGAAAAATGTCAGTTCTCTCATGATTATATAACATTTGACCAGACAATTTCTGATTTGTTTGGTGATTAAATACAACCACTATGTTATGCTGACAGCCATACAAAATGGAAGAGAAAATTGCACCTTAACCCATGGTAATAGTATCAAGATTTTGAACAGCTACAAATGCAGCATTTGCATTTTCAATGCCATACCAAGTTGAATTCAGTACTGCTTAAACCCAAAGCAGCAGCTGAGTAAAAAAAACTTTAGTCAAATTATAAAGCTACATAGTTTAGTAGATTAAAACAAAAACCAAGGACAATGGTATTTGTATAAGGTTCCAAAAATATACAGGGGAAAAAAAAAAAATCACTGTACACAACTCTGAGGTTGTTAAAGTGACCAGAGAGACTGAACAGTGCAAGACATGCTTTTCCAGTTACAAGCTCAAAACAGAAGTGCAAAAGAAATTAAAGCTTTGTCTGAAGTGATTTGCCTTTTAGGATACGGAAAGCTTAGAATATTGTCATCAGTGTTACAGAGAAATTTCCATCCCACCCCCAACACATACACACACACAAGAGTTAAGTTTTTCCATAATACAGCATTTCATTCAAATGGTGTCCCCCTGAGCTTGGCTAGTGTAGGGACAATTTGTCTGACAGTTATCAGCTGTTGGCCTATGAATCAAGTGATGCATAGGTAGCTTCTCAATTCTCCAGCTTTGGCTAAGAAGACCTGCGATTTACAGGCAGCAAAAGGGTTCAAACTCTCATAGCTTCGTAAGACCACCTCATCGTAAGAAAGCAGTTGTGCTGAAAGCAGATGCTCAGTTATGGCTGAGGAACAAAGAAATTGCTTTATAGGTCTCTGTACTCTCTCCCAGAGTTAAAAACAATTTCAGGCAAGTGCTTTTAGCAGGCTGACTAAGCTGTACATGCATCTGTCCATGCAAATGTAAAATATGGCTCCCAAGACCTAGAACCAGGGTGTGTGCATGTCAAGACTGGATAGAAGGCCCTTCCTTGTAAGTTTACAAAAATATATAGCCAATACTGTAGCTTAAGAAGTCAGTTTTACTCATTACAGAGTTCCCCAAAAAGTATTAACTACTTTTTGGTCATTCCAGACAAGGTCACTTGTAACAAAAAAGTTCTCTAAAACAAGATTTTTAAAGTGGATCTTTCCTTCAAGTGAACAGGACATCTGTTTTTTACGCTTAACTTTTTAGTCAGTTAAGACTTAATTTATTTAAGATTTTATGTGAACATATGCATAAACACAAATAAGTTTACTTTAAACACATCTGCACAGAAAAAAGATTAACCCTTCAAAACATAACAGAGCAGGTCTGGTTAGTATGTATCTATTGCAAATCTTAAAGATTCTGTGCATTAGGCCCACCCATACAGAAAGCAGGGGAAATGTCTCAATGAAAGAAAATTACTGTTCAAGTCTAAGTGGTGTTTTGAAGAGCCAGCAGCCTAAGTGACACCATGAAGCTAATCACAGTATCCAAACAAGCAGACCTGCTTGGGCTACTAAAGCAGTGTATCCTCCTGAAGGTGTCATCTGCTCCCAAGTTATTTTCTGTTTCGAAGGCGTTTAGATTTCCTAGGACAGTCTGTGGATTCAACCGCCTTCCTCCGTTTTCTAGGAGATTGTTCATTTGAGCCAGAACCTGAAGAATTTCCTACTGTACTCTCCATCACCTCTCGCAGCTTGCGTTCAAGCTCAGCCAATCGGGCATTCTGTTCACCTATGATTTGGGTTTGCTCTAGCAGTTTCTGGTCTTGATCTTGGAGTTGTTTCTGTTGCTCTTGCACTTTGATGCGAAGCTCTGAGATTTCCCGCTTTAATGCTGTCAAGCCCGTGCCATTCGCTTTTACTTGCTGCTGGAGTTTGGTGACTTCCTGTCTTGAAGGGTTCTGCTTGGAGAACAGCTGCATTGTTGTCAGTGCTGCAGAAGGCCCTGGAACTTCAGAGAAAACTGGGATTAATCCTCTACAGCTTTAAGACAAAGGTAGAAATTGTGCCCCAGTTTTCGTATTTTGCTCATCCCTACTCCCCAAACATGAATCTGAATACTGGCTGCAAGTTATGTGAACATGTGAACAGATTTACAGTCATTTAAGTGTCTAACAAGAGCATATGGTATCTCAGAGCACAACTAGTTTAACTAAAAATACTTAGATTTTCAGTGGTCTGGAAAACAGCTCATCTTTCATTTTCTGTATATAAGCCCCCCTCCTTTTGCTGTATCAAAAATTACATAGAGATATTATATTGTCACCTGGATTTAGAGTCACAGACGTTGAGTAAAGAACCCACAATATGTCTATAAATTACTTGTTATAGAATGGTTACATTAAATAAATATGATTTAATAGAGAGTACTGTTCTGCTGTCTTAGTTGTAGACAGATAAAGTTCTAAAATTTTATGGTTTGGGGCTTAACAAGATATTTCAATTTAACTTACTTTTTGGAAGAAAGGAATTTATTTTCCATGCTTCTTTACAATCACTCTTCCTAAGTACTAAAACCATACTGGAATTTGAGCTTGGGGATGTTGATTTTAATAAAGTTCCTGCAAATCAAGGAGACTAACAGCTACTGTATCATTTCTTTCACTTTTTCTATCATAAAATATAGCTATCACTTTTTCTATCATTTATTTCACTCTTCTAGCAATGCTGTGCAAGTAGGATGTAACTTTTCAGCACTACAAAGACAGAACAGCCTAGAACAACCATCCTCCTCCTCTTTTTTCCCCTTTAAGATGCCAGCACAGCTACAGCTACGTGACACTAAAGGGTTACCAGCTAGATAGGTTATGCTCCTCCCTCAACACAAGAGAGGCATTTTTATGCCACATAAAGCCTTGGCCTTGAAAAGCCGACTGGCATCAACTATGGTTTTGGGCAATACTTCCTCAGCTAAGAGACTCAGTAGAACTGGGGTATAATTAAGAGGATATAATTAAGAGGTGGTATACACAATTATGGCTAAAAGGATGGACAGGACATACCAGAAACAACAAGCAGCTCCTGCAGTTAAGCCTATCATTATTGTTTAAGATGTAATTTATTTTTTTAATTTTTTATTAAGTTATCCTTTCAGGGAGTTACTTTCAGAGTTCCTAAGAAGTGTGCAGATGTTCAGCACAGGGAAAACACTACAGTTCTACTAACTTCTGGCTTTTGGCCATTATATGAGGCAACCACCTTAGACTTTGGTTCACAAAAGTTCTGGGAAGTCTGACAGAGTATACAAAAGACCAGTTTAATTATGTATTTATAGACAGTTATTTTAATTGCCTTTCACTATTACCCATAAGTATTTTGCTTATTAGTGTACACATTAGTGCCCCAGGAAAGTAAAAAAGCACATACAAGTATGTCCTAGCTCTCTATGCCCTACAACAATACACTATGCATAATTCTAATATACATTTAAGTGACTGTTCTTTTGGTAGTACAAAGGCTCCTTAAATTTCAAAGCAAATGAATTTAAGTTAGCATTCTTAAGAAACAAGTTATCATAAATATTTATGTAATAAAGCTCACATTTCAGGGAGGGAGCTTTAAAAAGACACAGTGCTGTGAATTTTTACAGAACAACTGAATAAAACTTAACTGGACATTGGAATTAATACCTGGGGCAGTTCCTATCAGACGTCCCGATACATCTGACCCAGGCATCTTTCTTTTCAGTATTGGAACAATCTTCTCATCAAAATATTCCATAGCCATGGAGGAAATGTCCCTTAGTTCTTGAAGAACTTCATGAGCTCTCTGAGGAGCTCTTGTAGAGTTTACATACCTTAGCACACGATAAATTTCATCTATTACCTAAAACATTTAAGAAAAATTAGGATTTTCTGATAAAGCAAGATTATTTCAGATCATACTAGTTGTTCTGGCATATGCAGGGGCTTTCACTACATACCTATTACATACCACTGTGTGCTTTAGTTCTAGATCAGCTTTTTGAAATGAAGTGCTGTTTGTGGTATATCAGAGAAGTTATTCACTTGATCTATCACAACAACTCTCTTCAAACTCAAGAAATAATGCTCACTGTGTGAAATTTTGTTTTACTACACCCATACCTGAGTTCTGAGTTATGTAATCTATCCTCAGCAGAGCAGAATTTCTTTTTCGAAGACCTGAAGCAAAATACTCTAAGCCACACTGCAGAGAAGTCACTCCCCCAGCCAGTTACGTGGCACACAAAACACATGAATGGAACAGCAAGAATTATCACTATGTCGGTCTGAAGAGTTACAAATATTTACTTGAATCCACTTGCATACACCCAAAATATTGCAAATTCAGATGAAGTCCAAAATATATTCATTTATAAAACATCAATCCACCACTGACAGGAAACATAAGCACCCTCTTAAGAGGTTTGACAAACAAGCCCTTTAGGAGAGATACAGAGAGATGAAAGATGTCTTGCTAATCTATGAATCACAGTCTGAGGCAGGTCAAGATAGGAGTGTTGGTCTCTTATTACCAATACTGGTTTTGGTATTTTGCACAGGATTAAGTGTGGTTGAAGAGTCTCCTGAAGAACACAGATCTTAAGGGCTTAGAATCACAGGTTGCATCTTGTTTTAATGAAGGAAGCTTAGCTAAAAAGTTGCAAAAGCTAGATAAAAATGTCTCATTGTGCAACAAGCTTACAAAGGATTTCTCTAATTTTACCCACATTATATCCTGTTAGCAACAGCATCCTCAAAGCATTCTCCTGCCATCCTCAATATAAAATCTTGCAGCAGTGCTCTGCTATATCACCAGGAACCCTCACAGATTATGCCAAACCTGAAATTAGGACTCATATTCAAACACAAATTCACTTCCTGACAGGTCTGTGGCAGCTTCATTCAAATGACATTTCCTGAGGGGAGCAGGGCAGGTGAGGGAGAAACCACAGACTGTAAGTGAACACTAAGCCTTGAATGTGCCTGACCAAAATAGGATTTTCTGATGAACTGGTGACTGTGCTGAGAGAGCAGCAGTGCTAGCAAGCTCATAATTTAATAAGTAAATAATTTAAAAAAAACCTTTTTCGCTGTTGTATCAGAATGGAAACAAGGTCCTTATCACTCAGTGCCCACAAGGAAAATGGCTGGCAAGCTCACTTGCCCAGCTCCTGCACACCACAGGTCTAGATTGTGTATTGCCTTTCCATCTGCTGTCAAAAGAAATGTTGCCTTACTTTTTTTAAGTATTCCATTCCCTGTATGAGTATCAAGGACTTAAGCTTATTTGACTTAATGTTATATTAATTTCTTAAAATACACGGTATATATAAAAATATAAAGACAAATAAGCATAAATGTATTAAACTATAATTATTTAATTTAAAATTAATTAAATATCAAGTCAATAAGAGCATACAGAAATCAAGTTATCTCTTCAAGATAAAAATACATTTTGTGCCAACAGCCTGTCTTACTGTACTGAATGTAAAACCGCCTGCCATGCTTCACCTGAACCCAACAGCTAACGCTTCCACTCATCCCGCTGCAACTCAGTTATCTGCCCATGAAAAATTAATACCAACATATCCAAACCTCACATGGAAAGATCAATGAATAGAGCATTAGGCTAATGTTTGCAGATCTTGTTTCAACCCTGAGCTGTACCAGTCTTCCTCAGATCATGATTTTGTTAATTCCCCTGTGCACTGCTGTTTTCACAGCTTATAAAACAGTGGTATCTCTGATGTATGTCTTGCTTGCATAATTTATATTTTAATTTTATATATAGTATTCTGAAACACCAGAATTGTTCAGTAGTATTAATATTTAACACATTTTATCTACATTTAAAACTAATTCTACCTACAAAATTACCCCATCCACTCTAATACCAAACAGTGCTTCCACATACTAGATATCTTAATTCAATTAATCCGAAGTATTCAAACCCTTAAGAAAGTTGCCTAAAATCTTCCTGATTGACTGAGTGCTTAGGGTTATACATAGTCTAAATTACTACATCTTCTGATGACCTGGCCTCCAACTGTTTTGTACAATTAAAATTTAGAATTAAACCCTACATATCACGTGTTTCTTGTAAAAGGTTGTATAGGATGTATATGCCACAAGTGCTATGTCAGAATTAAGAGAGGATCTAAGGGAAAATGGAAACCAAGTTTAAAATAATTAATATTTATATTTAGTCTGGTTCATTCGTTTCAGACTGCCTGTCATAGTGAGTATTGGCTTGCGTGTTTGCTTGCAAGTACCCGAAACACAGTTTCGGTGTGTGTGTATATATATATACACACACATTATATAAATGTGTCCCAGTTGTCCCAGGCTAAGTTACATAATCATATTTTTGAAACCCAGATGTACATTCAGATAATATAGTCTACATTTTACCTTTCCGGGTATGAAGCAACAGAGATTGGAATCCACATACTTCATGAAAGTCATATTTAAGAGAGAGAGTCTCGTTTCTACAGCAGCAAGGATGTCTGCATGACGAGCTAGTGAATGGTTTCTTCTTTCTGACTCCCGTCTAAAAGACAGACCATTAAGTGACACTGATTTAACAATGAGTCAACAAAATGAAACTGTAACAATCGCTCAACTTAATTTCACCCTTAAAAGCCTCTGAGGTTTGAAATTGTAACCACTAACATTAGTTCTGTCTTTATGGAAAAAAACATATAGATTGAACACCAGCTAGTAAGAGCATACTACACTTTCTTAGACAAAATTTGTTTTCTAAACAATTATTACATCTTATGTGATCTATAAACTCTACGTGTAATTTAGGACTATTTAAAAACAAGCTTTCATTTCTAACTAGCAGCAGACACTGAGTCAGTGAGAATATTTTTATCCCCCCCCAGTCCTACAGTCAGTACTTGAAGGAAATTTACATAAATGTAATACATTACTAGTGGTTGCTACAAAGTTTAGGTTGAGATATAAGCTCTTCTGACAAAGGATCTCTACATTAAGTAGCATTTAGTTACTTCACTCTGACTGGGAAATCTGATAGAACACAGCAGCAGCTGCACTTATTTACTGGGAAGAGGAGAAAAGACATTTATTTAGTGAGAAACTAGCTCCCAGTAGTGCTCACATGTCAAACCCCCCTCCCTTTCCCCTGTTTAATCCTTAGCCCTGAAAAACCTTGCTTTTTTTTAAGCAGAGTCGTAGATAAATCATCAGTGAAGGCAGTCGGTCTTGAAAAGGAATGGCATTTATTCATTCCTAGGAGTCCTTGCTTGATTTGCCAGAAGAGTTGAGTAATACAGGACCCACTCTTCTTTTCTCTGTTTAAAATACCAGAGACACTTTCCAATATTCCAGTTCCCAGCATAAGACAACTTACATTCACCCACACCATTATTTTGTAACTAGATCTTAGGTTCAAGGTGCTTTTGGAAAAAAATGAAATTAACACAAATATGATTCAAATTTTCAAGATACATAAGTTAGCTACCAAGAAATTCTTTTTCAATATTCTGTGTAAAAGAATCTAGCACATTTAAGTTTATCTACAGTTTTAACTGGTACGTACCTTGGAAGCTGAGCTTTAACTTGTTTTTGACACAAGTTGTGATATCTTTCCACTTTCAGAAATCCCTGATTTAACATTCGCTGGCAAACCAAGTCCATTCGCTTACAAACCTGTATTTAAGCAAAAAGAAAAACTTTAGGCTCAATTAAGGCCACAAGTTGCTTTTACTTTTATCTTAACCATACTTGCTGGGTCGTAAAAGATTCTCTTGCCAGTTTTTGCTCCATTTCAAGAAGCAGAAACAGCAGCTGAGTTTAAGGCACCACCATCTTTAGAGTGCTTATGATACTCCAAAAAGGAGCAGCTATGTTCCACACAGTTCACAAATTAATCTCCTGTTACTCCCTAAGAAGAGATAGTGGGCTGAATTCCACCCATACGTAAGCAGATAAAATTTCCTCTGATTTTAATGGAAGTTGCAAATACCTGTGCATGGATTTTAACTTGGCTTCCAGAGTGATTTCTGTTAGATCGAGTTAATATTTTGTAGTCTCAAAAAAGAAGCCTTTAAAAACAATAAATCATTATGTTTTTCTTCCAGCATTTAAGGCTTATGCATTTGAAGACAGCCACAATTAAATTTAAAAGCTTCCAATGCAGTGCATGATACCAGGAAAGTACTCTTTCATGCATGTGAACTAAAATTGATTTTTGTATTAAAAAAATTTCTTCTGTTCAACAGATTCCTTTATTTGCTATCTTGGATACCAACAGCCTCATTATTTTTTTTTACAGAATTAGGGAGAAAGAATGTTAATAGCTGCAGAATTTAAAGCTTCACAAAGTAACCAGTTACAAGACAAAGCCAACCCGTACAAAAGTTTAAAGCAGTTGCAATTCAGTTCTGAAGATGTAAGAGCTTAGTGACCCAGCTGTTCTATGAAATTGTTCTGGGTTTTATTTTTGTACTGAAGTGCACAACTCCCATTGTGATGCCACTTTCCAATAGCCTTTTTTTTTTTTAATAAACATTCCTTCCCTCCATACACTACTCATTTCATAATTTTAAAGTCTATGTAAGTTTATGCCTTTAGGAAGAAGATTCTCACTTCTGCCAGAAGCCTGCAATTATTTTCTGTTTATATGGAAGGCACTACTTGAAGAAGTTCTACTTTCTGTGAGTCTTCCTCTAGTCATAGCTAGTTTAAGTTTTGTAAGTAAAAACTGATCATTTTCAAACAGATCTGTATTGACAGACCATTAAGTAATTGCTGTAGGTCCGTCTGTGCTCCTTTGTATTAGATCTTCCTTGTTAACACATGAAGGAGAACGATCAGACAGGCTGACTACAGACGTACAGTCTCAGCACGGTCCCCCCCTCCATTCAATGAATCAGTTAAATCATTTCCAGCGTATAAAAAATAATGTCGGCCCTTCAACTACAGGAAGGAGGAAATAGTCACGTTTCTTCTAAAATACCAGCTGCATTAGGGCTGCCTAGATCTGATACCATTGTTGAGTACAAGACTTAGCAGCTGACTTGTAGTTCTAATGCTACTAAACCCCTGAACTAAGAACTAGTACCTGCGCAGGGGCTATGTTAGCGATTCCATTATCCAGCACATGGGAAAAGCAATCCTAGACACCTTACTAGCTACAAATTCCAAGGAAGCAGAGGAAGAGGGATCGTAACCATGTGTATCCTGACACCTGCTGGCAGCAAGGACCTTTCCGTGGGCTGGAGCCCTCCCACATCCAGGACTGTAAACTGCAATGGGTAACATGGACTGCACTAGTTTTTTAAACACTGGATTTGTTTTCATCTTACAAATTTTCTTACACTAAGCAGTGCAAAGAACTATTTACTCCAGTTTCTGGACATCACCCATATCTGTGCCAATAAGCAGTCTAGAACCCAAACACTGAGCAGGTACCACCAGAAACCACAAGTGTTTGTCTGCAACTTATTTTACCAATTATCTCTTAATTCTCAGCTGGTTGCCGATGTCACTATTTAAACCATACAGCCCCTGAAGTCACAGGAACAATATACCTCTTTAGACTGCACAGCCAGCAGTCATCTGCAAAGGAGCATTATTACACTTTTAAGCATTCATGTTACTCCAAGACAGTTTGACACCAGCTATTCAACAAACCATAAAGAAGGCAAAAGTGACATTTTTTCATATTTGTATTTGCAAATTTTTGTGGATATTTTTTTATTCTAGCCATAAAGCTGAAAGAGACCAAGTTTCCTCAAATGTCAAGTCCAACCAGGACACTGTGTTCAAATTTCAGTCTTAGAAAGTTTTTCCAAGTCCACGTGAAAAGCAGAATGAGAAAGCGGCTGCTTCTTAGTGTGCTGACTCAGAATCACAGAATGGTTTGGGTTGGAA